AATCTTGAGAGATGTAACACAATACTTTATACGTATCATTTATTAATAAAAGAAAAAAAATGGAAATTATGGCAGTTTATCGTATTTCAATTCTTTTTATTGTAACATTTTACGCTCAAAACTTTTAAAAGATCACGCAAAAACATGGATCATGTATTAATAAAATATTCCATAACAAAGTCAAAGTAGTAAATTTCTATAAAAGATAAAACTGAAAATCTTAATCAGATTCCCACTACTTAAAATAATAACTAATTTAAGATATTTATTGATAAAAGTCGACACAGGACGAGATACATAATTTTAATGTGGAATGATGACTTAATTTCACTAACTCCGTGATGTCTTTTTTATTCAACATGACGTGTCATCTTTATTCACATTAAAAATACGCACCTCGTCCTGTGTCGACTCTTATTAGCCTTAAATTGATATTATTATTATTTTCTACAAAAGCTTTCTAAAGAAAAGCTTACAATAAAGAAGTCAACTTTCCAATATTTATTCACCATAGAAATAAGTCGAACAACTTCAGGGTGATAGAAATTTCGCAACAACTCATTTCTATATGTTGCGAATACATGTATGTCTGCAGGCGATAAAACTTTCTTCTAAATATTGAAATAATATTATTACATAAACTTTGTGTCGCAAAGGAAATTGCACAAGCTATGAAATAATATGCTGCAGACGAGAAACGAACATAAAATGTTTATAAACCTTGTTTATAAACTTTTGCATTCTGCCACAGGGCGCGGAAAATGTATAAAGTCGAAGCAATTAATCACTTCTCTCTCTCACTTAATTCTCATACTGATGACATCTATCTAAGAAAATTCATGTACGTGCGTAATTATCATTTCGCTCTAACCACAAAATTTATGGAATTCGCCTAGCAATTAGAATTAATGCGAAAATCTTCAAAAGAAAACAATTTCATTTCTAACAATTGTTATTTCTATTTTATATTTTATAATTTATTGAAATAATCCATTGGGCTATTTATTCTATAGCTAAATAGGTACAACGTGATTATATATAAGTCGAAAATTATGAACTATCATAATTCAGATTTTCACATAAACTATTTGATACATAATCGATAGGTACAACGCATACCGCCAATTAGTCAGAATAACAAATGATCCTAGATAATAATTCGTGTGCTACAATGAAATGAAACAATTGTTCCGTTATAATTATGTACCAAATCTAATATGCAAATCAATTCAAAATGCGCGTGAGTACAAAAAATAGCATCATTTAAATACGCTAACGCGTTAAAATTTATAACTTTTAGAATCTGTTTTACAGTGAAGTGAATATTTTAAATGAAAATCTTAATTTACTGAAATCTCGCAGATTACTTATTACTTCTTTAATATTTTTAAGAAATGTCTACTTTCGTCAATAATAAGACGTTGTAAAATTATAGATTGAAGGAACTACAATTTTATTTTGACATATCTAAAAGTACAGATGCAAAAATAAAAATTTTATGTTAAATTTATAATCAAAAGAAGTATAAAAGTATTTAATCTTTTCGTAAACAAAGTTGGATTTCAAATTATTACAAATAATCCATGATTATAAATATATTCTACTTTCTTGCAACATTTTATAATTGCTGTGTAAGCAATGTTTATTCGAAATGCATATTTAAGAATAAGAATAGCAAAATCTGATACAATATCGCGAAATTTCATCCCATTATAAGATATCCCTTGACATAAAATCACGCGCAATAACATTTCCATATTCGCGACATTACTAAAACGCGATTTTCACGAAAACACGAATTTAACTGTATTTTACATTATTAAAACCGCTAAGCGTATCAAGCACATCCGCAATAAATTTTCTCATTTATATGTATATATACACACACACACACACACACATACACAATAACACCCATAAATTCCTGAATAATTAATTTAATAGGAGACACAATAATTAAAACTTTGATAATGCTTTATCACATTTTTGAAAAGTTATTAATATCATTAATGTGTATTAAATGTATATTAAGTAATTATTAATATTAAAGCAACAATACCAACAAATTTGTATAAATAGATGACGCGACGTAACATTCATGAATAATCTCCCTCCATAAGTTTCCTTCCATAACTTATTGTTTTGATTGATCAAAGCTTCTGAATCTTTAGAAACAGCAACGCTTATATTTATTTCATGCAGAAAGAGCATTCTCCAAGTCATATACGCCTACGGCAACCGCGACAAAGAACAATGTATTATTAATTAGAAGATGCGCTAAGCCAATATTATCCATAGCTTTATTAGAATTCTCTTCAAAGGGTCTCAGTAAGCCTGGAGGGATAAACTTTTAAGATATTCCGTGAGAGGAGGATATGAATAGTATGCACGTGTACGATTTTCAGTCCAAATAATTCGAACTTCCATTTTCTGAGAAGAACGAAAGATAAGAGCCCATAATGCTCGATCTTTGATTCACCGCCAATTAAACATTTAGTTTCTGAGTAATTGCCACAATCAAATATGCAAACGTTTGCGTAGATTAAATACTTTTGATCCTTAATCATTTTATAAATATTTTCACTTTACAACAAATATTATGTAACGATTAAATAGATTTTATCGCCGTAAATATCGCTTATTTTATTATTTGAGTTATATGATTTGAGTTTTATAATTAGAAATTAATTTTTCATTAATTTTATGAGACTGTAAAATAAAGTGATTATATTTTTTTTCATCATCATTAATATTCATGAAATTCATTCAAATCAGACATACAAAACAGGTATGCATGTTTCCTGATGCTTAAGACAATTATATGTATATATATATATATATATATACTAACAATTGCCGAATATTGGTTTTCAATAATTTTTTTCTCAAATACTATCAACTTTACAAAAAAATTGCAAGAGACAAAAATTATTTATTTTCTTCTCATGGAACTCTAAGAATTTTTTCAAAATTTTTTATTAATTTTTTAATAAATTTCTTAATAATTGTCTTTTCTTAATTTTACCAACATGAGAAAGTACGGTATTAAAAAATTCTCAGAACTTTATGAGAAAGAAATAAACAATTTTTGTCTTTCGCTATTTTTCTGTAAAGTTGATAGTATTTGAATAAAAAAATATTGAAATCCAATATTCAGTGATTTTTGATAATTAATATCTTGTTAATCATTGCAAAAATTGCAAAATGGTAAAGAACTTTTCAATTCAGTTTAGTCCACTCTATCTACACAAAAGCGCTTTGCAAAAACTTACGGACATACTGTACATCTATAATATATATCTATACAGTATATATATATATATATACAGGCTGTCCAAATGAACAGGATGTACAATATATATACTATATACTATATGTATATACATGAAAAAAATAAGCAAAGCGTGAATATCAAATGTCTTTAAAAATTTCTTAATAAAACACAAAGTTAAGAAACTTTTAAAGTATTTAGTTAATTTGATGTTCTTGTCACATTCTACTTATGTTTCGAAGATATTTGATATTCTTGTCACGCTTTACTTTCTTAAGTATCAGAAAGCATGTATACCTGTGCACGTCTAGTTTAGAGTATCCTTAACTGTCAACGATCCGTCTCGTGAACGTCCGACTGTACAAACTTCATGATTTATGTTCGCCAGGATTAATTACACAAGAGAACTTGAAGTAAAAATCATAAATACGAATAAATTTAAGTAATAAATCACTATATTATCAATACTCTGGTAATACAAATCCTATCCATTATTTTATGCAGCAAAAATTATCTATCTGTTGCACAGAAATTATTAAGCACAGCATCATAAAAGATATCACAAATTTTAATTTTTTTGCATTAAAAATATTAGTCCTAAAGTAAATATTATAATAACGCTTATTTAAATAGCAAAAAAAATGCGGCAAATATTTCGAGGTAATTTTATTCGTCATTGAAAACTCATCCGCCATGTAAGGGTTAATCTCGAAATTGAAAAATGTCCGAGCTTGCTGTCCGCGTCGGTGAATTGATTTGATTAACAATTCAGAAATAATTTCATGCCGCGTTACACATCTTCATTAGGTCGGAATCTAGTCTCGGAATTTCACATGATTTTATTCCAAACTCATCGGGGTGATAATATTTCACGTGACATCCTTGACAGATCAGTAGATTCTTCTGTGAAATATCGAATTGCGAAAAATAATCACTTCTTATATTATCCTTTAACTTATTTATATTCCATTTATTGCATTTTGTTGTGTCTGTTAACGCGTGTAAGTCCAGAAAAGATAAGTTATTGCCAACAGACTATGGCATTTATAATTCAAAAATCGACAATCAATTTGAGGAGCATACTTTAAAATGCGTTTTATCAAAAAATTTTATTTTTTGAGTTAGAGATAGCGTAGTGTTCAATTAGTTCAGTATTGAAAGCTCATAAGCTTTCTCATAAGCTATTCTGTGTTCAGAAAGCATTTTTTCACTGTCAATTTATATGCTGAAAATAAAAATCTTATAAACATTCGAAGCATTATGTCCTTTCTAGAGACAAATGCATTGTTTAACATTTTTAGCAATTGTTTAATAATTCTGTTTAACATTTCACATTCTACTGATTGCATATTGTCATTTTCTGTAAAATGCATAGTTTTCTTCTAGCTTTCCTTCTTATTTTCTAGAAGTTACAAATTTGGGCAAAATGCATTTTTTGAATGTTTGCTGCTCATTTATTATATAAATTAAATTTTACATGTAAATATTTATTATATAAAAAAGCTTTATACGTATCATTTTTTTTAATAACTTCGAATTTATACTTGTGTATGTCGAAGAAAAATAAAAATAGTAATAAAGTGTGCGTTAAAAATATATTGTATTTGAGTACTCGACACGATATCATTTATTATTAATTTTTTATATGTACCTTTTGGCATCTTCAGACGATTCGTCACATCTTTCTAAAAGGATCGACGTACGTATCGGGCAAAAATTGCCATTTCAGTTTAACGAGACGTATATCGATGATCGGGATACGTGATATCCGGCATAGGGACACATCCTTAAGAGCGATAGCGAATGAAAAAGATGACGCATCCCTCGCGCAGAAGGACGACAGATCGAAGAAGAGCGCTTTGCACGTCATCGAGTTGCCGTCGGCGGGCCAATTAGGTGCGAAAGTGCTCGGTTGAGAGTAAAAGCGGGTCCAAAGAAAGGAAGTCACTACCGAGGGTCGAAAGTGTCGGAAAAATCGTCAGGCAAGAAGAAGACGGAAAAATCGTGGGAAATGGCCGCTGGTAAGTGGAAGTGGAATGCGAACGAATTAAGCACTCACTGCAATGCACATTGCATGAGATCTTATAACTATTGAGGGAAGTGGATGACATGGGCCTTTGCATATTAATAATGGTCCAGCGGCTCGCGCGCGCTTGGAAATTAAACTTCTATTTCACTTCTCGCGTCAAAGAGCAACTCGCACGAATGGCACTTTATGATAGAGTGATCGATATTCATAATCCAGTAAGCGCTTCATCGTTCCTCACGCCGAATGGTTAAACACTCTGCTTCACTCGTTCTAGAGTCACAGGCCTATTAGTCCACACATCGTAGTGTTTCTAATTGCCCTGCGGCGCTGAATTACACCAACGGTCTGATTTGACTCGTCTATTTTCACTAAAACACATTCGCACCTCTAGATTAATGCTATAGCATATTTATTTTTTCTTTAGAAAATAATATAATATTACAATAAATTCTCCTTACTACGTATAACTGTAAGGAAAATATTAGTTTATGATTTCGATAGTATTTAAAGATTTTAAGTTTAGAATGACTACGATAAAGATAATAATTTGTTGCATTTTTGAAACAAATTATTTCTTTTCCAAATTAATCCCTATTAATTTAATCCAAATAACTTTTAATAAATGAATTCTTTTTATATAAATTGAATCATTTTTATATATTATATAAGTGTCATAATAATTATGATAATTTTTCAAGAAAAATTTTTGAAAAGTTCGAATTTATTAATTGCACCGAATTTTTATCGTATCTTACTATTACGTAACAAGAAAAAGCTATCAAAACTTTCACAAAACATTCACAATATTCATTTTGTTATATGCACATTATACATATACAGTATTCTATTACGTATTATGTAAATGTACAACGCATATAATTCTTTATTTTAAAATATTTTTTCGAACGAAAAAGATATTAATGTTATATTTTTGTAACATTCTTGTAACATAGAAGAGACGCAAATCAACGAAATCGCGATGAATAATACGATAATTTAATACGCAACACACTAATGTTCAATTCATAATGTCAAATTATATCCAGTTAAATGATTTTTAATCATTTCTATAAATCGTCACTGCTTCAACCCAATATATCGTTAATTTGAAACAATGAAATTAAACAATTTAACTCATAGAAGGAAAATTCTTAATTTCGGTCTTGATATTCATATTAATAATTGTAACATCTTAGCTTTTTGAATTAATGAATTTTAAGGTTTATTAGTAATATCTCAGATTTATTCGCTTTGCGAATTTGCGATTAATTTTTATCATATTTATTAATAATTTACATTAAAAGTGACTTCGTGGTCTGTTTAGTAACTATTTACATAATTAACATTGGCTCCTTTAATTTTATTTGTTTTTAAAAAAACGTCGAGCCGCTTCTTCATAATTTTAATTTTAAAATGTATTAAATTTAAATTTAGTTTATTATTTATTAAGTACATACTTTAATAGAGACAATGTTTACTTTGAAACTATAATCACAAAAATGAATCAATTTATACATTTTGATATACGTGGAAGTTAAAAATAACAAAATATTATTTAGTTCAAGAGATTGGAGTACCACTTTGCTCCTTTGATATCTAACAGCAATATCCAAGTCATTCGCCCAAAGAATTCAAGAATTCTTTCAATGATTTCGATAATCTCTAGAATCTAGAAGAATTATTAAATTTTAGCTGTTTTAATTAATTATATATTGATCAATTATATGTTGTTAAATAATATATATATTATATATATAAATATATTTTAATTATAAAATCATCTTTGTTTGCACGTTTCTTTTAAGATATTATTTCGACAACATATTTCTCAAGCAAAAAAATAGTAATAAGTTCTAATCTAGTAATAAGTTTAAATGACAATTTTTAATTAAAAATAAATGAATAAGTACCTTGCAAAAAACTTAAAATTTTAATCATGATTCTTTTAATATTGCATTTCCAATTTCTTTTCTCCGAGAAAAGTAACTTAAATATTCAATGTATTCAAGATGCAATAAACTTGTTCGGATTCCGCCCCAATCCGCATCTTTGAATCTAGAGATGCACTCGTCTTCTGCAGGAAAAGTGGCGTAAAAATGGAAAGAAACAACTAACCTGCCAATTTCAGGTGAATCTTCTTCGATTCCGATTTTTGCTGAAAATATTGTACTTCGTTTTCTTGGGATGCTTTCGTTTTCTTAGGATGTGTTCTAAATTACACACAAAGTGTATGATCAATGCATCATTTGTTCTTGTTGTTCATCGAAGAATAAAAAAAGATAAAATGATGTTAAACATACACAAATGCTTTATGCGCTTCGTGCATAATTCGGAACGCACCTTTAGTGATTCGATGCAACTAGTTGCTATACTATCGTAAATGATACATACGTTTAAAGAGATTTAGGACTACCGGGATCCATTAGATAAGACTTTCAAGAAAAATTTTTCTGTTTTTCATACTATTTTTAGATAATATCTATCATGTTTTTTTATATTAATTGTATAATAGTTATTTATAAAGAATTATTGGTAGAGAGATCATGGTGTGATCAACATACGTTGAGGTCAAGATCATTGGAGTTTGATCTCCTAATCGATGCTTTTACCGAATTAATATTAATTCTTTCGTAGTTGTCTATTGAAAAATATAATTAGAATTTTTATAATTAAAAAATGTATTGTGAATGTACATATTAATTTCACGAAAACTCTGTTACACTTCAACATTAAATAATATACACAAAATTGTATTTTAATATACAATTATACTTTATATATGATTATATAAAATTATATTATACTTTAATTATACAAATTTAATTTACGTTAGAATTCGAATAAATTAAAGCCATAATAAAAATTCAATTAAATAGCAATAAAAACAGTTTATAGTTTCCCTCAGACGAAATTGATTACGAAATAGAACCAATTCTAACCAAAATTTCTCCTGCCGTCAATAGAGAATTTCAACGCGATTGAACTGTCAGGCGTTGCTCAAGCAATAAATTAAGTGGTTATCAGCCATTTTGATTTTGATTGAACTCTTCTTAACATATATAGTGATGGCACGAGCAAAAGAGTAGAGGAACTCGTAATCGAATGTCATTTCCATTTATATGACATCGTAGAAGATTTCTGGCGTGAGATGATCGTGATTCATTTCTTACGCCATGATATTTAGCGAAGACATGTAGCACGATCACAAGCAAAATCACAAGGTACTATAAACACAATCTACAAGTATGTATGTCTCTGAATATATCAATTAACAAAATAAGTATTTCCCGATAAGTAATTAATAGCGATAAATGATGATGCACGGTGTATTCAAAATAAAGTCACAGTAATAACGGTAGGTGATAACACAAAATTTCTTGAAATATGATATAAAATATAATAATAATGTCCTGGGAACCTTGTATTTTCCATTTTCAAAGACGATGGAATTTGCGACAAATCGGGAAAATATCTGAGTGTGTGAAAATTCAATAGAAAATGAAAATCCCTATATTCTCGCTTACTTTATCACAGCAAGCATCTGCGAAAATTGTATTTTCCTCGTCGGTAAAAGCTCGAGAGTATCGTGCGGAATATGAACCACTCCTCTTGCAATACTTCGCTTTTCTCCGGGAATATATAATTTTGACATACACGTGCACTGCGAAAGAGAACAAGAGAAAGTCAAAGAGTCAAAAAAAGAGAGCAAAAGACTATTTCGCAAATGGATCTATTTTTAACGGAGGGCTCGAACGCTCTGTAATGGTGCCTTTGTAATTGCAAAATTCGTCGCATCTCTCGAAGAAGTCCTGCGAAAATTCGAAAGTATGGATTGAACAAAATTGTTGGTTATCGTCTGAGAATTTTAATTTCTCTTCTGTTAGCGGGAATTTAGAATGTAAGTCTACTGTAAGTAGAATCGTTACATTCTAAATTAAAAAATATGCTACACGTTTATATCTGACATTTTGGCCTAAGACTTCGAAACAATGTACCACTTCTTTTAAAAATAATTTTAATCATACTGACAAAAATAAAAAGTTAGGGCTGTTATATTCTAAACTGAAAAAAATATTATATTCGACTCTTATATTGGCCTAATCTCAAAACAATTATACCGCTTCTTTTAAAATAATTTCAAAAATGATGTTTTGCTCTGCATTATTACAACTTGTACTATAAAAATGTTTTAACTTTAAGAAAATATATGATCACATCATTATTGTTTACAAATACGAAATCTTTTCCAAATACTTGCATCAAAGAATAAAATAAACGTTCTTAAAAAATTAAACAATAAGAATAGAGCTACGAACCAAGCAAAATCTTGATGTTATAATATTGTCGGACTTTATTTAACAAACAGAAAGTTTATTAGAACATATGTTTTGACCTCAATCGGGTTATTCTTAATGTTAACAATATACAAATTTTTAAATTGAAACGATATTTACTAATATCATCGTTCTGATTATAAATTAAGAACAATAAATTCCAAAGAAATACATTATTAAATCGTTATTATAGTCGTCAACGTCGATGTCTTAAAGTACAGTCAAACGGAAGTAGCCGAAAGCAAGCTCGGAGTTTTTTCTAACTAAAATACCAAATTATCTGAAAACGGCGTCTTGAGCTATCTTGCTAAAAGAAACTCAATTTTGAAGATAAGAGAAATTTACTCTGGAAATTATATGTCGAAAATACATTTTCGATGTATTTTCGATGTATAATTTTCAAAGTAAATTTGATATGAAGAAATTTTCTGATGAATTACGACCGATTTACAGACTAAAATTTATAGTCTTTTTAATTGTTGAAGATTATGTTGATTATAAAAAACTCCGAATACTTTTGGCTATTTCACTCTACTTTATGACATTCGCTGACGATTACAATAGCAATTTAATATCTTTGGAATTTGTTTTTAATGTTATAATCAAAGCGATAATATTAATTAATATCATTTGAATTTTAAAATTAACATTTATAATA